TTTTTTTTTTTTACATTTGAAGTTTTTTTTTTTATTATTATTATGTGAATGTTAGATAAACCATTAAGGAAATATTTTGCTAATATTACAGTAATATTTATATAATGTGTGTGTGTATTATAAAATATTTATATCTTGCAAAATATATTGTTTTTCTTTTTATTATTACTATATAAATTATACAGAATAATTTTTAAATAAATAAGTATATTATTATTATAATTTTTATTACTTTTGTTATTATTTGGACTGATGTGATAAAATCATCTAGAAAAGTAGACTATTTAGAGACTTTATAGCTCATGTTTGTATTGAAGATTTAATATGCGCTTAAATAAAGTTTTGCTATATAAACATTTTGCTAATGTTCATATAGTTATATATAGTTCATATAGTTCATAAGTTAATAAAAATGTTAACCATCTGAAATAAATAGTAAGTAGTTTATAAAAAATAACTGAAATGATTCACAAAAATTTTCCATGGTCAATATATAAATAAAGGATATATATTTTAAATCTTATAAAAAAAAAAAATTATAAATGAAAAAAATTTAAAATGAAATATTTTTTCAGCTAGTTAACAAGCAACATTTCTCATTTTTGTTTAGTTTAGCTTGAAATACTATAGTCGCTAAAACTAAATACACAAACATGGTATGATTTTACAATTGTAACATTTGGTAACATACCATTTGCCATTTGTAACAAATGGTAACATTTTACTATGTAACATGGTTACATTTTAGTAACTAACAATGAGCAAATTATGTGTCACAATGTTTATTTGTATTTATTAGATTGTTAGTTCATACTGTATCAACTCCGGTCCATTAAATAATATTAGTAGATGCAACTTTTAAAAGTCAAACGTTCCATGAACGATATAAAGTAACGTTTCGATAATGTTACCAGATAACGTTTAATGAACGTTCTATAAATGTTATTGAAAGACGTTTGTTTATAACATTAAAAGAACCTTGTCAGAAGCTTAACCATTAGCTGGATATGCATTAATCACTTTTCAGTTTCTTGCATATAGAATGTATTTATTCCAGATGTGAATACGGTCCGGTGTTGATGAACTGAGGCGTGTGTTAATTGTCTGTCCTCGCTGTTGACAGCTCCAGAACACCAGCGGCGCCTGCTGCGGGTGCTAATGAAGCGTGCCGTCATTGAGAAGAGGATTATTAACTTTGTTAATTGAGTTGACTGTGTGTGCGGCTGCAGATTGAATGAGGAGAGGTTTTCTGTGTGCTCTTGAATATATTTGGCCTGATCGGATCGGTCTCTGCCCATTTGACCCTGTGATTTATTTTAGCTCTAGACTGTCAACAGCATCACCATTCGCCACACACTTTGATTTCTGATTTAAAGCAGCGATAGAATAGTTTTTTTGGAATTCAAGGATGGAGAATTTCAATTAAAAGTTTCCACAAGCCTCTGTCAGGCAATTTCTCTAACTGATTCTCAATTAAAACTTTGACCTGCCTGAGAAATGGCTGTTTGGCGGTTGTTTAGTCATTCGTTGAAAGTTTAGAGAACGAGGTGGAGAGTATTTACAGGTGATGCGTGCACACGAGGGTCAGCGGCCCAAAGACAGAAATACTGTCACTTTGACGAACATTCGTTTAGAGTCAGTCAGAGGTCATTCTCTTTAACGCTTACCGCTGCTCATTTTCACATACTTTGCGATGTTTTGAGAACCAAATAAGGGCACGTTATGCATTTCATCAGTGAGATGATAGCAGATTCGCATGTCATCCGTAAACACATCAGGCACGCATTTGGACATGTTAGTCTCTTTTGTGATTAATGAGATCATTTCTTGTGTTGCACGTTGGAGTTGTTTCAAGATGCTTGGCAAACAAGTCAGAGGAGTGTTTGGAAGCAAACCAGCGCTCATCTCAGTAAAATGCATCGTATCTCAACCTAAGGTTATTAGCGTTAACTGAAACTAAAACTAAAACAATAAAAAAAGTAATTTGAAACAAAATACATTTCAACTGAAATAAAATCAAATAAGTATTTCTTTTCAAAATCGTATTAAACTAAACTAAAATATAAAAATATTTTGAAAAATGTTATTTCAGCTAGTTACCATGGCAGCATTTCTCATTTTCATTTAGTTTAACTGGAAGTACTACAATCACTAAGACTAAATAAAATAAAACGGTAACACTTTACAATAAGTTTCCATTAGTTAATGTAACTAACATAAAAAAAAAAAAAAAATTTTAATTAAGGGATCTCACAAAAGTAAACTAATAAAAAAAAAAATCTTATAAAAATCAACTAAAATTAAATATATTACATTTTGAAAAATCGTAAAAACCGATTTTATTTCAGAAGCAAAATTTCTCTTTTTCATTTAGATTAACTCAAAGTACTACAGTCGCTAACTAAATTAACTAAAACAGTAATACTTTACCATTAATCAATGTTAGTAACTAACATTAACTAACAATGAGCAATATATTAGTTAAAATATTTAACGTTAGTTAATAAAAATAAAACTGTTCGTTGATATTGATTTTAATAATCTATAAGGAAATGTTGAAATTCACATTAATTATTCACTAAGGTTAATAAATGCTTTAGAAGTATTTTTCATTGTTAGTTCATATTAACTAATATTATTAAGTAATGGCGACAAATGGAACCTTATTCTAAAGTGTTACTACAACTACAACTAATAAATTAAATTGAATAAAAACTATGTAGATGTATTAATAACAATTACATTACAATACATTAATAAAAAACTAATTTACTAAAACCAACTAAAATTAAAGTAAAAGCAAAAATAAAAATATAATTTAGAATATTAACAAAAACTGAAATAGTATATCAATAATACTAAAATATCACTGCGAGTGATTAAAGAGCATCATCTCATATTTACTGGAAGATCGTTTTAGCTTAGAAGAGCATTAATTTCAAAGCAAAGATGTGGTTTCAGTCTCGTGTTCCCGTCGCTGTGAAAAATGAAGCAAATATTTGCATGTGTAATCTATCACACATTTCTCTCTGAAATCAAACAGTCTTTCGGATGCATGAAGCACTCGGTGGGAGAAGCGTAGGATTGTTTTCTGATGCATCTGGCTCTCTGTGTCCTGCAGGTTTCACCGTGGAGACTATCACATCGACGTCTGTATAAACGACTACCTGGATGTCTACTGTCCACACTACGAGGAATCGGTCCCTGAGGAGAGAGCGGAGCGCTATGTGCTCTACATGGTCAACTACGACGGCTACAGCACGTGTGACCACACGGCCAAAGGCTTCAAGCGCTGGGAGTGCAACCGGCCGCACTCGCCCAACGGCCCGCTCAAGTTCTCTGAGAAGTTCCAGCTCTTCACACCCTTCTCGCTGGGCTTCGAGTTCCGGCCGGGCCGAGAGTATTACTACATCTGTGAGTATGATCAGATCAGTTTCACAGGAGGAGTCCGACTGAAGACGTAGGCTAATTTAAAGGGATCATCGGATGCCCATTTTTTACAAGCTGATATGATTCTTTAGGGTCTTAATGAAGAGTCTATAACATACTTTGGTTAAAATTTGCGTAAAACAACGCCCTTTTTACCCTGTCAAAAACAGCTCTGTTCACAGCGACCCATTTCGGTGCATGTTCCTTTAAATGCTAATGAGCTCTGCTGACCCCGCCCCTCTCTTCCATGCCGTTCTCATGAGACTGTTTACTTTAGCCGCGGAACTGGCTAACTAGCACGTTATTAGGAAAGGCGATTTGCAAAGATTCATAAAAGAACCTTATACTCACTTCTTCTGGAGTTGAAGCTGGATCACGAATGATTCGCGCAAACATAAACGCATTTAGGCAGAGGACGCATTCCCTTCAAAAACAAACGTAATCCACTGCGTCTTCAGCGGCTCAGATGTCGGGAGTAAATGACGACTGCTATGTTCATTATTACATCCAACAACAGAACACTTCAATCGCTTAGGAGATATTCTGGTCTACATCTGCTCCAGCGTCGAAACAATGGTGCACTGATGACAGCTCACTCAGGGCGGAGCTAAGGTAAAACACCAGTGTCAATCAACAATAGTGGGAGGAGCCTGGGTCTGTGTGACGTCATACAGCCAAGAGGCTGAGAACGGCTTGATTTGAGAAAGGGGTTATCATTTGTGGATTTTTATCATTATAGGGTGGTTGTGTACAAACACTGCCAAGACACATTTCAGTTCAAACAACATGTAAAAGTGAATTTTGCATCCGATGACCCCTTTAAAATCAAACATGTCAGTCATGAAGTTATGGTCGCATCTTTAAATAGAGAGAATATAGCCATTTGGCATTTTAAGAGTTTTCACTAGAAAAGGAACGCTTGTCAAAAGGCTCTTTCTAAAAGGTTAGTTTGACCTGGGTATTTGAGCTGTCCGGAATACTGGTTAACCTATGACTTTTTTAATCTTGATATTATGAGACTTTTTCTTGTTTAGGATCATGAGCAAGCATGCAAAGTTTCGACACTCTGATGTGTTGTGGAAAGTGCGTATACAATTTCTATTGCGGTTATGATGTTTGCAGGTCAGTTTGAGGGCATATTTATGATTAATCCTTGTATTACACTGTACTACTATCATTATGGTGTGCTTCTCCAAAAATCACACTGTAGAAAAAAAAATCAGGTAAACACAGTAAACCTTAAAACCCTAAATAATTAAATAAAATAAAGAACATATAAACTGTATTAAAACTATGAAATAAATAAATATAGATTTATATTTTATTTATTTTAGATTTATTTATTTAGTATATTTTATCTGCATGCAATAGCAACCATTGCAGATAAGTGAAGGAGAAAGGATGGATGGATGCAAGTATATTTTAATATGTTTTTATAACATTCTCATGGTTAACTCATGGTTGTTCGTATTCTGGGTGTGAATGTTATGGGGTGGGTTCAATGTAATTCTCCAAAAATCACACTGTAAAAAAAAAAATCAGGTAAAAACAGTAAACCTTTAACATTAATTACAATTAAAAAACAACTTATGATTATTAAAACGGTACTAAAACTATTTATAGGTTTCAAATTATGTATATATAGTCTCATTTATAGTATGTTTTTTATTATATATATATATATATATATATTATTTTTTTTTTTATTTTTTTTTTATTAACATTTTAAACAAAAGCATGGAACTCGCTACAGCAAAATAAAAACGTGTTTTTATTTAGTTTTTTTATTTCTGCCTTTAAAATGGCTTTGGGCGATTTTAAAGTTTGTTATAAGAGATTGGCTTGTTTAAGCAAGCAAAATGAGGTATAAGCATGACGTCATACTATAGAGTTACATTATTAGGTGAAATATCAGTCAGAAACCATAAATACCTGTTCATCCAGGTCTGTTTTGTTTTTTTCAACTTCTCACATTTCTGATGGAGTTTGCTGCGTTTAGGGCCACAGGTTGTTTCATTTCGGGTGTAATAAAAGTTTATTTCCCTCACTGTATGTCAGTGACAAAGCCATTTGTACATAATTCTCAACCGCATGGAGACTATAAGAAAATGCAATGTTTTCTCTCACTGGGTCGAGGCTGTAAATTTTGAGATTCACTTTCAAGGACGAACGCATATGAAATCCAGGCAGGGCATAAATCAATATGAATCAATATTCGTTGGGAAGAAAATGCGATTCGAGGGTTTCGCTGAAGGACACCTGTCGACAAGGTGAGATGAAAATACAGGCAAACCTCATTCGTTTTCGCTCATAACGTGGAGCGAAAATCATCCAGCATATCGCTCTTCTCACGAGTCCCATCATCCTTGCTCGCGGTCCAAAGCCAACATCTGTGAAATACGTTTGCCCTCTCTGACTAATTGTTCTGTCTCACTGCACGGATCCGTCCGTCTCGCGCTGGAGTCTTTATTCAGCTCCTGCCAGATAGATCTTGGCAGCTTCTGTCTCTCTGGCGAACATCATAATTAATATACATCATGACAATCTTGTTGAACATAATTCCAAACAGAAAGTCAGAACTGAAGCCCCACTTTTAGCTGCCATATTTTACGACACTGAAAGAGTCGTCGGTATTATTAATATCTGTATTAAGAACGATGATTTCGCAATTAGGGACGGTTAAAGACGTCAGCTTTCTCTGGCAGGAATATTTAAGCAAATGTTCAATTAAAACCTCCTTTCCAGTTCATCAGTCAAGCTTTCATTTCGACTACAATGAACACTGTCTAACTCATTTTTAATAGTGTTTTATATCATACTGACGTCCATATCATTGTGCATTTCTTAATTATATTATTCAACTGATTGATTATGCTCATGTTCACTGAACGTTTATTTGGTCATATCTGCTGACAGTGACCTTGACCTTTAAGGTCAGAGACTAAAACTAGACTAAAACTAGAAGTCTTGAGAAATCTGAGAAGACTGAGAAATGCATCTTTCTCCATTGACAGACATTCAAAATGTATATGTTGTAAGCAAAATAGAAATATTATACTTATTAAATTTGTAAGAAAATATTGTAAATATTTTGCCAGTGTTTATTTTTATTATTTATTTTTTTTATTTTATATTAATTATGTTATAATTGTTTTCTTTTTATTCTATTTCACAAATTTTTTTTCTTTTTTATTTATTATGTTGTATTTTAGTTTTTTGTTTAATAATTAATTAATTAATTAATTAATTTTTTCAGGCTCAGGACTCATAGATTTTTACAACAATTTTTTTAATGGGTTTGGGAGCAATAATAATAATTTATATTGTGCCATTCTAAAGCTCAAGGACTCTTTATTGTCCATCAGATTACTACAGAAATAGGCAAAAAATATTGGAAATTTGGCACATGCATGTAATTTTTTAGGGAGAAAAAAAAATACAAGAACGAAGGAGGCAAAATAAGTTGGTCAAGCTATTTATTAATATTTATTATTTATGTAAATTGCATTTAATCAATTTATTTAGATGCTTCTTTATTATTTATGTAAATTGCATTTATATAATTTATTTTGTGCTTCATACAACACAGGTTGTTTCAAAGCAGCTTCATAGTAATAAACAGGAAAATAACAGTGCTAATGTTGCGAAATTCAATAACTTTGAAATGGCTTTCCAACTATAAAGCAGTGTCATTATTCAGCTCAAATCAGTTCAGTGTTGATTCAATTCAGTTCAATAACAGTGTCAAGTTTTTTAGTCAGAGTCGCTGACTTGGTATTAGGGCTGTCAAAAAAAAATTAAAATTTTGAATATTCGTAGAATTTAAAATAAAAATCCACATTCGAATGCAAAAACGTTGCATTCGAATTTTAGGTGTGCGTTAAGGAGGCAGTCTTATCAGTGGCGCACGAGATGCGATGACGATGTAAGTTTCATTGCATTTTAATGCTTTTGTTAGCCTGTCCAGTTGAAGCCACTAGATGCGGCGCTGCTGCGTTGTTAATCACAAATGTTGCAGGAAAAGGGAACATCAGTGTGGAGAAGACCTTGATTACGTCAAAACTGAAACCAAGCCGTTCACACACAACGCATATTTAATCGCATTTTCTAGAGGGACATCTATCACCGTTGCACTCGCGTCTCGCACAAAAGAGCCGCATGTT